GGCACTAAATGTTTGTTAAGTGAATTCTATAATTTTTTTGCTTCAGTATGTGTGGTTTGATATGCCATGTGTCTGATCAGTGTAGTGAAAATATTATGAGGGTTTACTATACTTTTTCCAAGAACTCTATTCTTTCACAAAATAGCTGCATTTAAGGGAGAACATAGCACAAAGCCCCAAATCTTTGTGAAGAGACTTAACCCGATCCTTCATCTACTTGATCCTTAAGTACATTATGGACCAAGAAGATAAACTTTGTTACTGAGAGGAAGAAAGACTTCGAAGCTGGATTGATGAATTTTATTCCTTTGCCTTCTTTTTTACTTTTCTGAGTTTAGCTCTTTGCTGGCCTCTGAACAAGAATGCCATTAAGAGAATAAAGTCTCTGGGAAGTTAATATGTCACTTGTTCTGGGACTTTCTTAATGTATCGATGTTGGAGGATGGAAATGTAACGGTAGCCCAGTGAGAAGTCAAAACTGCCACTAGCATTTATGCAGTTAATATATGGACAGTTGAACCTGCCTCTGAAGGCTTTAGCAGACAGAGGAACAAAAAAAAGGACAGTGAGCTAGTCACAGAAGAATCATAGTAAATATCAAAATAATTTGCCAGGAACACAGTAAGTAGTCAATAAATGTTATCTTTAAAAACATGGCATCTTCCAAAGAACAAAATGTTAGAAACTCCAGAGCAAGTACCTTAAGTCCCAGATAATATCAGTACCTATTCATCTAGTCTTTATGATGAAGATACACCATTCCTCTCAAATGAGTTCCTAGAATATGTTGCAACTAGCTAACCTATACTTAGAGTAAGCGTCTGGCAGAAACAGTAGAGGGGAGAGAAAAGCAGACCATGTAATTAACTGGCTAGGGCCTTTTACTCTGCACATTCCATCCTGGTACTGAAAAGCCAAATGGTCTAAGAAAGTGTGTTCGGGTCTCATGCATGAACGGGTAACAGAAATGGAAGACTGTAGAATTTCCAGTTGCAATGTGTATCAGACAATACAGGAGCAACTCGTAAGTCTTACTTAATTAAGCGAAAGGAGGTTAAAATAAACACTTTTGGGAGATCATTGCCCCATCACCATATGTCATCAAATGCTGACCTCTGAAGCCAATTTGAGGAATTCATACATAAGCAAATAAACCCTTGCAAGAAGAAACAAAGCTCTTGGTACATCAACCAAAAATCTCTCATCCCTTTTTATAATTTAACTTCTTTTCCTTAACAAGTTGGTAACTGTAGAATTGGGGGAATATAGCCATGTGGCATTATATTTGATTCAAGCAGAGGTTATCTTGACAATTTCATTTTTTAACTTCTTTTTGCCAAAAAGATACAGAACTATAGTTCTGCAAAGCTTTAGAAATAATGTGGCCTGACCACATTTCTGATGGTTTTGGGTAGGACTCCTTGCCAGTGCACTGAGGTTGTGTGTGGACAAAAGATACAGTAAGGCAACTCCCGTAAGGCATCCTCTTTCTACTTGGCAAGTGTCCCTCCACCCTCTTGCTATTAGGCAGTGTCAGTTCTACCTTGTGGGAAATGTGGCTTCTTTTGTAAGTGGCCTATGCAAGTTAGATTGGGGGTGGGGACAGAGATAAGGGCCTTTCCCATGTGACTGACGTGGTTAAATATGTCTCAGAGAGGCCAAAATTATTTTTTTTTTTTTTTAAGGATAGATTTGGGAACTATGCTAGTTGGGCAGTTTTATATTCTCACATAATAAGCTCTGTAGCTTTTTGGTTTTATTTTTAAAAAAGCAATTCTCTTTGGCATGGGAAGAAAGAACAGACATGTGGGCCATTACATAGAATGAATTTTTATCCTGAAAAAAATTTCAAGTTCCATCATTGTTTTTAAATTTTCAAAATTAGACTTTGAAAATTAGAGTATAAAACACTACCATGTTTTCTAAACAATTAGCCTTCAGCATGAAATGCATTTAAATCAGCTTGAAATTCATCTGTGATTAAGAACAAGGCCATAAAAAGGCATTTTTTTCATCCCCAGTCATACAGTAGTAAGCTTACATCTTTCCATTTTACTATGAGAAATATGACCTTTTCGTTACTACCGTGTATCACATTGTCCCCTTACCTCAGTGATCATACTTTTTTATACCTGTTTTCTAATCCAAACCTAAGATACCAGCCCTTTCAGCCTTGCAACCCAGATATGATGGCAGACACACATACACACACACACACACACACACACACACACACACACTGGGGAATAAATTGTACAAACCCAGTGGAAATCCCAAAAGTGGTGGTTTTTTTTATCAATGTGTCTACGAAAGAAGATAAAGAAGTCCAAGCTAAAAACTAAAATGGAAATTAAAATAGGGTTGCATTGCTTGGAGGCCTGAGAGATGTAGTAGCAGAACCACAACCACAGTTCAGTTATCGAAGTGCAAAGTGCACGTGCAATTAAAGGAATGTTGCCTTTAAAGGTGACGCTTTGGAATTCTTTCTGAATTTTCTCCAGTGAGTGTATATCAGAAATAAAATACCTCTCTTTTTGAGAGATTGGTGATGTTTCTGCAACGCTGTTGGATGTCCCACTCTTAAAATCCTCTGCTTTATTGAAACCATCTCTTCCTTCAGTGGTTGGCAGTGTTCATGTCTGTCACAGCACAAAACTGGTACCGGGAGTCTATGCTCACTGGGGGTCTCTTAGCCCAAAGCCTTCCACACTACGCCTGTGTTTACCCCTTATCCTTACAGAATTGTGTGTGTGAGAGAGATTACACATAAAAAGAATGTTAAATTAATTCACTTTCTCTGGTTTGTCTATCCAGGCTCTAACTCCTAATATGTTATGTTATGTTATGTATATTTCATATTTCATATTTTATATTTTGTATTATATTAGCCTAAACTTTGAACTCTGATCTCTTTAGTAAGATAAAGATTGTGTTTTAGCCACTAAGCCCTAGCTTTTCCGTCTTTTAACTATTTCGTGGAAATATTGGGTTGTCGGAAAAGTCATGATGCATTTTTGCAACGAAAAACAGAAAAAATACATCATGACTAGCCCAATAGTATTAGAAACAAATGAAATGTGGCATATTTATGATGCAGCCATTAAAAACCATGATTTCCAGGGTCAGCCGAATGGCACGTTGGTTAAGAGCTGGCTTGGGACGCCAGAGGGCCCTGGTTCGGATCCCATATATGAGGGCCAGTGACACTGCCCTCTACAGCTAAGATGCTGAACAACAGCTCAACCTGGAGTTGCCGGCAACTGCTGCGTACGCTGCATCTCCTGCTGCAGTGGGTTGCCATGGGCTACAGTGTGTAGCCAGCAGCCAGCGTGAGCGGCCAGCAGCCGCAGTGAGCGGCCGTCCAGAAGCTGGCGACTCATCTGCCTCGCCTGGGAAGAGCGCAATGATGGTGCCAACTTGGGCCAGTGAAGCAACGTCCTCCACAACTAAACTGAAGAACAAAAAAGGACAGCAACTTGTCTGTTCCCTTTCCCCCAATACCCCAGCGCTGTTCCCATCCCCCAATTCCCCAATTTAAAAAAAAAAACCTTTAAAAAAACGTGATTTCCAGTAACCTGTAATGTTGGGAATAGTAGTACTCACAATATAACATTAAATGGACAAAGAGTATATCAAGCAAAATGTGAAGTCTCATACTGTTAAAAGTTGATTAATGTAAGTTTTAAAAAGACTTGGAAGAAAATTACTAAAATGTTTTTTGGTGGAATACCTTTAGGCTATTATTTTTTTAGAGTTTTTTCCCATATTTTTCAGAGGAAAATAAGTATTGATTTCATAGCAAAAAATACAAATTTAATTTAAAAACTCTTCAAAAGGAAGGAATGCCGCGGGAGCGGTCCTCTTAGGAGGCCAGGGGAAAATCAGTGTCACTGTGGAAAGTAACACCAGACCTCATTTCTGTTGACTTGAATATTATTGGGCTCCTTATTCATTAGGTAGGTCAGAGGTGTCCTGTTGATGAAAAATGCCAGCCTAGTGACAAGCAGCAGGTGCAGACCTCTGCCGTGGAGGCCCTGGGAGTATCTTGAGAATCGCCAGCATTTTGGCAGTGTTTTCAGCTCTCACAGCTGCTGTGTGTCAAGCAGATGCTGCTGTAACATTTCAGTGTTCTGAGCTGTGAGATCTGGCCCAACTGGTCGTCAACACCCGGGCTTTGACCAATGACCAGTACCTGATCAGAGCAGTGTCATGCGAGCTATCAAATGACGTGCTGAGCAAAAGTTGTCTGCCACTACTGTGCTTCCACAGGGGGGGCAAAGGGATAGTTGTTCATCCACAGAAAGGGAATATTAAAAAAACAAAAAACAAAACAGGATTATTATTAAAGAAAAACATAGAACCTGTGTTATAGCTGAGAGGATTTCAGAGTCTTTGGCTGTGAGTCCGGCATTTGGTGTGACATAAGGATTTATCAATCACTGTTTAAAAAGAATATTGGAGAGCCCCTGAAATGAACGAGGGGAGCTCCAGCCAGGATGAGGCAGGTTTGGCCATGAATTCACTCATCGCATCGCTTGGCCAAGGAAAACATTAACCTTCTCCAGAGACAGAATTTTTCTTCCATTCCAGGAGATAGAAGAACACATGAAGTATATGTTATCCAGGCTTTCAGATGAGCACATTTCACGAGCAGTTTTGTTATAACCCACTAACAAATAAATGGGAAGAGAAATTGTGTAACTGAAGTCAGGAATCTCATCTCTGTAAAAGCTAGTTCTGTATTTAGTCCCCTGCCCAAGTATGGGACTCTCAGCCTCCTGCTGACATGCTAAGCCAGCCTCACTACCCGTCCCCCAAAACCAAAGTTGGCTGTGACACTAAATGGTCAAGTGTGGGAAACTATTTAGAATCCTGAAGGCTTCAATAGTGACTAGAAGAGCTTTAGCCTTTGGTCAATTTTCTTTGACTTGTGAGACATAAAGATATTTGAACTTCTCATTTCAGATTGACCTTGACTTTCCTCATTTTTTTCACCTCAGATCATCCAGCCCCTCTTAGAACTTGACCAAAATAGAAGCAAATTAAAATTGTATATTGGACACCTGACAGCCCTCTGCCATGACCGAGACCCCCTGATCCTCCGTGGGCTCACCCCACCAGCTTCCTATAACTTGGACGATGACCAGGCAACTTGGGAAAATGCGCTGCATAAGATGACCCGGGAACAGGTAAGTCCCTCCCTTGAACTTCTGACAAGCTCCATTAAAACTGCTATAATCAATAATGTTGTAAATATTTTTTAGGGGGCCAGATGGACTCATGTCCTGTTGGGGAGACCACTTCATAGTCGATGTAGAGGCCTGACCACCGCATTGTATTTCTGAAGCTGATGTTGAATAATATTGTATGTCAACTATAATTATATATAAATATAGTCTCGGGACATGGAGTAGAGAGTGGGAACGGATTCAATGGAATTGTAATATATAAGCATGATATCGGGGGTGGCAGGGCAATACATGGGGGAAGGGGGGTTGTTACTTTGTGAGGGTGAAAAGGGTAACTATTGCATTGTTCTGTACACCTGAAACTAACAAAAAAAAAAAAAACTCAGCTGCTACTTAGGTCGATGCAATAGGAGCTACCTTAGGGAATTCAGTGCTCAGATTCAAGATTCTTAGCAATGGTTAGTGCTTCAATGGATATTAGGAATTAGCATTTGAAGTGCCACTTTATCCTTCCCTCCGTGTGACTTGCTCAAGTATCAGAAAGGGCTCCTTTAGAAGAAAACCAATTAAGGGCCATCTGTTAACATGCCGTACATTGTTTCACAGAAGTGACGGCCTCTAAAGGAAAGTCTGTCTTAAGGCCTTTTGGGTAAGGGATTCCTGAGGAGTCAGTGGCATGTATCTTCACTCGTCTCTAAGGAACTGTGGGTTACACAAACTGAGTTTTTAAGAAACAAAGATAAGACAGATGAGGATAGGGGTAGAGAGCAGATGTGGAAATTGAAGTAAAGAGAAATTGAATAAACACTTAGAGAAAGAGAAATAGAGCAGTTTTTAAAACATTCATTCTGAGCATCTATTGGGTTGTCGGAAAAGTCATGATGTATTTTTCCTATGTTTTTCATTGCAAAAATGCGTCATGACTTTTCTGACAACCCAATAGTTTCCAGGCAGGGGTTGATGGTACCTCTAACCCTTTATAGACTGTGATCATACCAACCAGAAGACTTAAATGCACAGATGTTGCAAATTTACTAAAACAAGCTATACACTGTTTTCTAGACAAATACTTCTCATTTGTTAAACATTATTTGTTTACTCGTAATATGTAAAGGAAAATTGTGTTAAATGCAAAAGCTCCCAGGTTGTGATATTAAAGATAGCAGGGACATCTCATGGGTTGAGCAGTGCAAACTGGAGTCTTCTAACTGTTGTTTACTTGCCGTGATATGTAGATTGCCTAATAATAGATGTATTTAACAGCCTAATTAGTTATCTACCTTATTTATTTGATGCGAAATGATAAGGCCTACCTCTTACATTTAGCATGCTGCCATAGAAATTTTAATTTCTTTCTTCGTAAAAGAGGGAAAAATATAAAAGACAGAATTAAGATGAATTCTTAATAGCTCCTTTTGATAGTAATAACCACATAGTGAAAATGCAACTGGAAGCCCCCTGGAAACAGAATGCATGGTTGGTTAGTGTTAGAAACTTTTACTTCAAAATTTTGCTAAAAGACAGTGCTTCTTAAAGCACTGACATAGCAACGTATCAAAGTTTAACTGGCATTAAATTACTTCTTTGTGAAACAGCTTGTCTTTGACATGGAAAAAGTGTTTTTACTCAGTCCTGTTTTTCAAATATGCCTGAATGGACTTGACTCTGCTTTCCAAAGGGAAAAAATATATATCTTCAGGATGAGACCAAGATAGAAAATTTCAAACTAAGAACTTTTCAGAAAGTTTTAAGTGAATGAAACCAGGAATTCATTCATTGACTTGCCTTTACATGTTATTTTATAATTAAGCTACTGTAATCATCACAACAGTTTTTGTTTGTTTGTTTTTAAAGATTTTTATTGGGGAATTGGGGGGATGGGAACAGTGCTGGGGAATTGGGGGAAGGGGAACAGACAAGTTGCTGTCATTTTGTTCCTCAGTCTAGTTGTGGAGGACGCCACCCCACTGGCCCAAGTTGGCACCATCACTGTGCTCTTCCTGAGCGAGGCAGATCAGTCGCCGGCTTCTGGATATCGGCTCACTGCTGCTGCTGGCTACATACGGTAGCTCATGGCAACCCACTGCCACAGGGGCTGCAGCCTACGCCTGTCGCCGGCGACTCAAGGCAACCCAGCTCCAGGTTGAGCTGTTGTTCAG